AACGCTTTCAAAATTCGTTTTTTGCAAATGGAAAATTTTTTTTCCCGATGGGGAAATATCTTGAAGAGAAAGATATTGTTTCCACTGATAGATCAAGTTTTTATATTTCAAATATTATTTAATACGATAGTTTTACATGGGTATTTATATTAAATTTCTAAGTGAAATGTATAAAAGTGATACGATAAGAGATTGCGTAAATTATTGCTTCATATTAAAAGTAGATTATTTTTTAACAAATAATCTAGACGAACTGGTGTACGAGACACATCATTCGTAAAAATAAATCTCAAGATACGCCAATTTTTCGAAATTCTTCGAAAATTTCGAATTGCAATAAACAAGATCTTCTCAAGCGACTCGACAATTTCCAATCAATCGGGAAAAAACGAAAGAGTTCAGAAAGGAAGGAAAATTTGCATAAATCGAATCAAACGGTTTCACGTTCGAGAAACGCCACAAAATTGGTGGTGGTCGAATATGATGGAACCGGATGGATGGATCCAACGCGGAAATTACGTCTTCGTGGTAGATTGGGAACGTAATGGTGGAACGAGAAGATTCACACACGCGAAACATACGGGCGCTGCACGCAGCAGCCAATGGTGTCTTGGCAATTTGGGGCAGCTGGGAAAATTGAGCGGTAAAACGTGAACCGCCATGCGGAAACCGATCGAGACGGCGTCGATGCACCGTGTTATTTCGTACCGATCGACCAATCCGCGCCTTTCATTATTTCCACGCTCTCTTGGATCGCAATTAAACGCACAAAAGCCTCCCCATTCGACTTCCGAGTGGAAGCCGCTTCTTTATCGCGCGATTCGATGCGTTTTTCTTTTTTTTTTTATATCGAGTGAGTAGTTTGATCGAGCGAGAAGAAGAGAATTTTTTAAAAGACGCAAGATATTTTTGATTATATTGTCGAATCATTCCATATCGAGCGAAAATTAATAAACTTTAAATTTACTTTGCCTAGAAAGAAGTCACATTTCTTTGAAAGAGCGGCAACAACGAGGAACGAAAAAAGTTACGAGCAAAAAGGTGGCTTAAAGCTATCGTATTTCAACGATAAGAAAAAAAATTTTACGACACTTTGAGCAATACTCTCTCAAATGCTTTCTCAAATTTTACTAAGAATTACCAGGCCGTTGGGAAACTAAGACTCCGGGAATCTTAAATTGACGATGGAAGGAAAAATTTCGTCCCATTCGATTGTCTCTTGGACAAATGAATAATTTTCACGATTCGAAAGACAAACAGATTGCGCAACAGCGTTGCG